TGCATGAGACAAGTGCTCGGGCCTGGTGCACTGGGAAGACCCAGAGGGATCGGGTGGAGAGGGAGGTGGGAGGGGGGACCGGGATGGGGAATACATGTAAATCCGTGGCTAATTCATTTCAATGTGTGACAAAAACTACTGTAATGATGTAAAGTAATTAGCCTCCAACTAATAAAAATAAATGGAAAAAAAAAAACCAATTGAATTTTTCAAAATCTTCAGGGCATTGTCTAACAGCAGCTATGAGGAAGCCCAAAGTAGAGAAAGGCTTGTCTTCAAAAGATTTGTGACTGTGGCTTTTGACTAAAGAAATAAATCGCAGTAGTATTCATAGAAAACCACCCAAGTTTCATTCTGGTGGAAGCATTACCATCTCAGGCTAAGAGGGCCAGAGATGATACAAAATGAACAGAATTGTTTGGACCCCAACCTTTTACAGGCTTCTACACAAGGCTCTCTCAACTTCACTCATAATCTTTCTGTGATCTTTTATGCTTCTTTCTGCTTCCCAGTCCCAAAGCCAGTGTCATGTGTGTTGGGCTTTTGTTACTGCAGTGCCCTGTTTCTGGTACCACAGTCTGCTCCAGCAGTCTCCTGCGACATAACAAACACTACAAAACTTCACGGCTTACAACAACAATGTGGGCAGTGCTGGGAGGCAGCAGCTGATCTCTCTTCCCTGCAGTGTCAGCTGTGGTGGCTTGACCAGGACTGGAGGATCCACTTCCACCACAGTCTTTGCCTGCTCACACGTGGTAGTTAGGTTCCAAGAGTGAATGTCCCAAGAAGAAGTGGAAACTGCCAGTAAAATTTACATACAGTGAAATGTACATATCTTTATATATAATTTGAGCTTTAATTAATGTAAGTACCCATGTAGCCACAGCCCCAATCAAGCTAAGAGTCATTTCTACCACCCCCTGGAAGTTACCTCATGCCTCCTTAAAGTCAGTCTTCACTCTCACCTTTATTCCAATTTCTGTCACTATAGACTAGACTTTCTTGTTTCTGAACTTAACATGCAGATGACACCACCCTTATGGCAGAAAGTGAAGAAGAACTAAAGAACCTTTTGATGAAAGTGAAAAAGTTGGCTTAAAGCTCAGCATTCAGAAAACTAAGATCATGGCATCTGGTCCCATCACTTCATGGCAAATAGATGGGGAAATAGTGGCTGACTTTATTTTTTGGGACTCCAAAATCACTGCAGATGGGGATTGCAGCCATCAAATTAAAAGACTCTTACTCCTTGAAAGGAAAGTTATGACCAACCTAGACAGCATATTAAAAAGCCAGAGACATTACTTTGTCAACAAAGGTCCATCTAGTCAAGGCTATAGTTTTTCCAGTAGTCATGTATGGATTTGAGAGTTGGACTGTAAAGAAAGCTGAGTGCCAAAAAATTGATGCTTTTGAACTGTGGTATTGTAGAAGACTCTTGAGAGTCCCTTGGACTGCAAGGAGATCCAACCAGTCCATCCTAAAGAAAATCAGTTCTGGGTGTTCATTGGAAGGACTGATGTTGAAGGTGAAACTCCAGTACTTTGGCCACCTGATGCGAAGAGCTGACTCATTGGAAAAGACCCTGATGCTGGGGAAGTTTAAAGGCAGGAGGAGAAGGGGACGGCAGAGGATGAGATGGTTAGATGGCATCACCAACTCAACAGACCTGGGTTTGGGTAAACTCTGGGAGTTGGTGATGGACAGGGAGGCCTGGTGTACTGCGATTCATGGGTCACCAAGAGCTGGACTCGACTGAGTGACTAAACTGAACTGAACTTAATATATAAATGGAATCAGACTGTGTGTACTATTTTGTATTATTTCTTTTACTCAGAATAATGTTTTTGAGAAGCATTCTATCAATAGTTCTTTTTTTTTTTTTACTGCCAAGTGTATTCCAACAAATAAATATTCATACACAATTTGTATATCTGTTCTCTTGTTGATGGACATTTGGGTTGGTTGTAGTTTGAGGCTATTATGACAAACCGGCTTTGAACATTCTAATAAGTATCTTTCCACAGACATACATTTCACTTATTTTTATTACTCTTTATCTCTTTGAGTTCCTTCATTTTTATCTGTCTTGTGTTCAGTGAAAGAGTCATATTATGACATGGAAATACTAACCATTTCTTAACAGACTTGAGCCAATTCTTCTATTAAATCTTCCGTCATACCCACCTGCAGGAGCCCCTGCTCATTCTTGGTCCTTTTGTCACTTACAGGATGGAACAGCTTGGCTCTCATCATTCCCCACTCTTGGTTAAAGATTCAGCTTTCTTAGGTCTGCTGAGCCAGTTGCTACTTTGCCACTCTGCTTCCCAGCTTCCAGAGTTTTAAGTTGTCTCCTTTCTTGTTATCTGGCTCATTTTTGTGGTTTTAAGAGAGAAAAGAGTTAAATGTATTTTTCAATTCCTCTTGTTTACCCTTTTCTTTTTTTTTCCTGTCTTTCTTTTTCATCTATCACTTTCCACATCCTGCTTCTCTCCATTTTCTTCTCTCCATCTTGCTTCCCCTTAGAATTAGAATGATGAAGGTCAAAGAGTCCTCAGAAAGTGTCTAGCTCAGCCCCTCTTTGATGTGAGTGGCAGACCTGAGGCCCAGAGAGGACACCAGTCCATCCATAGCCCACACAGCTACTACTTTTATCTTTTTGCCTTTAACAACAAAAGAGACTTTTCCCCTCCTGCCATTCAGTTAGTGAGCCAGGACAGTGTGAAGAAGCAGAGTACCCCCTACTCAAGTGAAAGCCTAGAAGTCAGATCAGCAGAAAGAATGCTGTAGCTGATCAGGCACATGAGTCTTCTTGGCAGACCAAGAGAAGCAGCTCTGGGGAGCTCTGTCTTTTTCTTCCGTGCCCACCCTGCTTCTCCCCTCGAAGCACAGTGCCAGGTGTGGGGTTGCAGTGGGGAGGTTGCCCAGCTATCTTGACAGAAGAAACAACTGAAACAAATATACAGATGGGCCCCTCAGGCCCTTTGCATGTTTTTCTTTATTCCAGTTGTTTTCTATTTTCACTACTATCTTTGAGCCTAATTCTTGATGTAGAAGATAACAAAGGGACTCTAAGGCCTAGAATGGAAAGCAAGGGAAGTAACTGGTGGTTTAACCACTCTAGGTCCAAGGCCAGGCACACACAAAGCACACTCGTGCTAATGTTGCCATAGCCCCACAACTCGTTACACAGAGCTTGTGAGAGATACCAAGAATATGTAAAGCAGCCAAGAACTGAAAATGAAAGTACATCCATCTGGAAAATTGCTTGGATTTTCTTTTCAGTGTAAAGAAGACAAAGTGCAAGTTCTGTGCCTTGGCTGGTCTGGGCTGTTCTCCCAGCAGGCTGCGTTCCCAGAGCCTGTGGTCATGCATTTGGGCTGGCAGCAGCTGGGCATAGTCACCCTCTACCCCCTCCCACAGTGTTTCACCAGCTCAGCAGCTGGGAGTCCTGTAGAGGCCAGAGCTCAGGGTAGGAAAGACGAAGAGAGCTCTGTTCTCCGACTTCTCTACCCTGAAACTCTTTAAACTGCTTTGATTCTCTGTCTCCTGCAGTTTGTATTTACTTGAACAAGAATGGCAGCACAGGCCCCCACTTAGATAAGAAGAAGGTCCAGCAGCTCCCTGACCACTTTGGGCCAGCCCGAGCCTCCGTGGTGTTGCAGCAGGCTGTGCAGGCTTGCATCGACTGTGCTTATCACCAGAAAACCGTCTTCAGCTTCCTCAAGCAGGGCCACGGTGGTGCAGTTATCTCAGGTAAGCACTCTGGTCTGGTATGGCTTCTAGCCAGAGAGGCAGGCCTTTGCAACTAGTTGACTTCTAGCAAGGCCTCCTGGTTTTTACTTCACACCAGTAGGCTCTGGAATGAAACTATTCCATTCCTCAGGGTCCTCATTTCAACTCCCAGAATTCTTGGGGTCTTCTGCATATCGCTGTCAAGTAGAATACCCATGCAGAATCTGCTTAACCCCAGTTTCTAAAGAGACTCCCTCCTGTCTACCTACCAAACCTCTCGCATACGGAAAATATGCAAGTATGTTGCTTTAAAAATGCTTCAGAAGAAAAAATCCAGAGGGGGCTATATTCGGGCAACAGGAGAGTTTCTCCAGACTGCCCCAGCCTCCCAGTTGGCTTCAGGGAACCACAGAAGTCTTCTCTCGTTCTTTTGACCCCTTAGCTGCCCAGTCCTCAGCCAGCCCCGATACAGGGGAGTTGAATCCTGGGGCAGAGTGGGAAGAATCAGTCCTCTCTTTCCTGCTATGGGAGTTTGAGTCAGTTGCACAATGTGTGGTTTTTTTGCTTTGGTTGTTTGTTTTCACTGAGAACAGTCACTTCTGCTGTGTCCTGGTTCTGTTTCAGTTTTCCTGAGTCCAAAAACCGCATCTTTACCCACCAAACCTATGAAGACTTGACCTGGAGCCTTTAATCTTAATTATGTACTACCCAATAATCTCCTTCCCCTGCCCTCTAACTAGTCAATATCCAGCCTCAGGAAACCCAGCTGACATGGAAGACCCCATAAATACCACAAATGGGTTCTTTCAGCAGACATTCATTGAGCCCTGACTCCATGTGTGAGGTTATTGCAGACACTGGCCAGGGGAAGGGAAGAAAAGACGATGACATGCTCAGGCTGTGCCCTGATGGAAAAGAAGGACTAGCTCACAGCTAACTGTGGGAGGTGTTATAATATGTGAGAAATGCATGCAGGGTGGTGTGGGAGCCTGGACACAGAGTAATTAATTGACTGCTCAGAGGATGGGGACAGGCAGGGAAAGAATCGCTAGAAATGGCTGAAAACTGCATGGGAAATCAAGCCTTTCTTTCCTTGTGAGGCTAAGGCCTCTGCCTGGCCTCTCCTTTGCTTCCATGCTGCAGTCTGCAGGGACCCAGCCATCTTTACCACCTTCCCTTAGTGACTGTCACTCACACCTTCTCTAGGGTTCTTTCTCTGTCCCCTAGATTGATTCCTGAGAGTGACCTATCTCTACATTTCCTTGCTGCCCTCAGAGACGGATGCAGAAGCCTTTTGCTTGTTAGGGATTCCCTTCTCCAGAATCTTCAGGATCCAGGGATCAAACACTAATCTCCTGCACTGCAGGCAGATTCTTTACAATCTGAGCCACAAGGGAAGCCCAGGGATTATATGCATATGTTTTAAATAGAAATAAATAAGGGGTTTAAAAACAAAAAGAAATGAATGTTGCCGAAATTCGAGTTGCCCTTATCCAGATGAGATTGTACACCTCAGCCATTGCTGGCAATAGCTGTGTTCTCCTCTGCCGCCCAGCTTCTCTGTTCTTAAGCAGTTCTTAAGGAAATGAACAGATTTCCTTGGGAGGCCTAGCCAACTGATGGAGCAGATAGAATTATGTTCACAGTTGTTTCACAGGCTGAGTAGAATTATTCCAAAGCCCCACGTGCAAGAGATCTGGCCTGGCCACTCCCATTATTGCAAACCCTTTGGAGTTGGAGGCAAAAATCAAACCCTCAGGGGAGGGAGAGGAGGGGAGGAAGGAAACCTGGGCACCATTCACCTCTGTATAACCAGGTAAGCCTGAGGCAAGCAGTGGGCCGGCCTCCTCCTGTTTAGCTCTGCGCTGTGCTACGAGCTGACGTGCTGGGCCCTGTTTACTTAACTCTACAGCCGTGTTTGACCGGGAGCAGCACACGCTCAACCTCCCAGCAGTCAACAGCATCACCTACGTCCTCCGCTTCCTGGAGAAGCTCTGCCACAACCTTCGCAGTGACAATCTGTTTGGCAACCAGCCGTTTACACAGACTCACTTGTCACTTACCACCACAGAGTACAGCCACAGCCACGACAGGTACCTACCAGGTAGGAGCTGGGTTGGGGTCTGGGTGAAGAAGGGGGGGCAGGGCTAGTAGCTGCAGCGAGGGCCCAGGGCCAGCCCTCAGACCTGATATCCCAGTACCCGCTACCCTGAGATTTGGTTTTCTGTCCCTTACCTTTGCCTCATCTGGCACTTTTTGGTTGCCTCTCATCTTTACTGTCTCTTTAGGATTCTGTTTCCTATCTCTAGGACTTTCCTTTGGATTTTTATCCCTAAAGAAACGGTGGTTCACAGTTTTCCTAAGCTCCAAACTGCATGCGGAGCCAGTGTGAAGTCACAGGACATCTCCCAGAGTGATCTGGCAGCAAAGTCCTAACACAAAACTCCCTTGCCAGCGGGAGGGTTTAGTCTCAGGCTTCAGATTGAGAATTTGCTGCCTGGTGATTGGCCATCCACTCTTTCCTTTGGCACGTGGCCCTAACTCCTCCAGCAGCGCCAGTCTAGCAAGTCGATTCAAGTTCCTGCTGTTTCTAACTAGACTGGAAAATAACTTTCTTAGTTAACATACCAGACCCACAACGGGGAAGCGGATGCCACGTGGCCGGATCAGTGACTAAGCACTTCCCAAAAGAGGTTTGAGTGAATGGAACCCGGCATCTCTAATCTGGAGCACAGGACACAGCACGACAGGGAGGGAAGGAAAGCTCGGCCTTAAACTAGCGAGGTAGGTCACTGTGGAGAGAGGGAGGAAAGGCCCTTGAAAAGAGTCCCGTGGACCTTGTCCTGGCCAGAGGAATAGAGGCAGTGCTATCAGCGCTAGGGCTGTGCTGCCTGTTCATGGGGGAGTGTAACTCCCAAAGGTGCTCCCTTCTCACCCGCACGAGTTGTATTCCCACACTGCCTTCCCTGTTGTCTTTTCATCATTGTCAGAATCACTTCTGATAAAAGTGCCACTATTGGAGAATGTGCTGGGAAAGTGACTGCTCACCCAGCACCACCACCCTCCCCCCACTCCACCTCCTCTGCACCCAAACAAGAATTACTTATGTGACTTGCATGCCCAGCAAAAAGATACCTGAATTTCAAATGCTCCTTCTAGAGGCTCCACCACCTGGTCCCTGCAGACATACCTGTGACCCTCTCACTGACCCTTCAGAAAGAACTTCTCATCTAACCTACTCTAGATTGCTTTCTTTTAACCTCAGACTCTCTGTACAGAAAAGAGCATTCTTACTTGCAGTTAAGGTATTGTACTGGGAGTCTGGGCTAGGCATGGTGGAGCAGGTGCAGATGAGGCAGGTTGTTAAATATCCCCTGCTGTTGGCGTTCGGGAACTCTGAGCTGCACTTCAATAATAAAAGTTAGCCCTACCTGAGATTCTGGAAGAATGGATACACGGGAGAGGGTAGCATGTCCATGAATGTTGCTGCTAATCTAGAGTGTTCTCAAAGGAATAGAAATTCAGAATTCTTAAATGGAATAACACCACTGAGAATCAAGAGAAACGCACTTGTAGCAGCATGAAGAGGCTGGTAGGGATACACTTCATGGACCTGCGGTTGTGATGAAAGCTTGGGATTGGAGCATGACCTTTCCTGGGAATTCTGTTCCAGTTTGCATCTCTCTGATTCAACTACCAGATAAGGGGAAGCAGGCTTTAGCCACTCTTTCTTCTTGCCTCACCAACTAAGAAGAGACAAAGACCAGGGTTATCACCTTCCCCATCAGCTGCCTCTCTTCCCTTCTCTCTTTTTCAGACAGATTCAGCCAGCTATCTGCTTTCCTATGCTCTCTAACCTCTGTTTCTCGTAGTGGGTGCTTATCAGTTTGGCTACTCTCACCCTAGTCTGTTTGCCTCCCTGAAATGTTTTAACTCTGCCTAGACAAACCAGAGCTTTGCCCAACTTTCTAATGCTTCTGTGCTCCCTCACTTACCTTTTTCTGCCTGCCTGCCTACCTACCCTCTCTGCCTCACTGACCCTTTGCCCCACCCCGATCATTAATCATTTCTTAACACTTTTCTGATTAGTTATCCAAACCTCTGCCGAAGAGCTTGATCTGCATAAGGGCTTTCTTCTGTTCTGCTCTTTGAAGCTGGTATTTATTAACTTCCACCCTTCTGCCTGGCTACCCTCTTCTACTAGTTTCACATCTGAAGGTACCACCTCTCTTATCCAGGAACTTACTAGCATCCTCTCTCCTCCCAACAGCCTTATCTCTACACTGTCCTACCCATTAGAGAGAAAGAATGGAAAGAAAATGAAGTCGCTCAGTCGTGTCTGACTCTGCAACACCATGGACTGTAGCCTACCAGGCTTCTCCATCCATGGAATTTTCCAGGCAAGAGTACTGGAGTAGGTTGCCATTTCCTTCTCTAGGGGATCTTCCCGATCCAGGGATTGAACACAGGTCTCCTGCATTGCAGGCAGAAGATGCTTTACCTTCTGAGCCACCAGGGAAGCCCTATTAGGTCTTGGATTAACTGACAACTCATTTCCAATATAGCAAATAGTCGCCAAATGTACATCCCATTAGGCTTCCTTACCTAAATTGAGACTTAGTTTTTTCCTCCAGTGTTTTATTTTGAAAAATTTCAGATTTACTGAAAAGTTATACAGTAATACAGTGAGCAGCCATGTACTCTTCACCTAGACTTACCACCTAACTTTTTGCAGTATTTACTTTATCTGTTTCTCTAAGTATATATGCATGTATTTCTCTATATATATTTTTTGTTTATTTACTGAACGATTTGAGTGTTAACTGCAGATGAGAGACTTGATCCTTAAACACTTTTTTATATGTATTGCCTAGGAACAAGGAACACAACACTACTATCATCCTTGAGAAGTTTAACATTAATAAAATCTACTAGTTGATATATATATGATATAGTCCATATACAGATTTCCCCAACTGTCTTAGTAACATCCTTTGTAACTTTTTTCCCCCTTATCCAAGATCCCGTGAAGAGTGATCCACTGCATTTACTTATCCTGTCTCTTTAGTTTTCTTTTGTCTAGAGCAGTTTTCCAGTCCTTTTGTCTACTTTTCATGATCTGACATTGGCATTTCGAAGAATTCAGGCCAGTTGTTCTGGTTCAGATAATCAAACATTTGTCAAATACATACGTGTCCTAGATCCTGTACTGGACTATAGGGAGACAGACAACAGACTCAATCCCTGCTCTAAAAGAGTTCTCAACTGAGAGAGAACCTGTATGTAGTGAGAGTGTGGAACCTGAGGTTCTCTGGCCCAGCCAGGAATGGTGAGCAAGGAATCAGCTGAAGTAGTAGTCCAGGAAGGATTCTTCAGGGCAGCGATGTCAGATCAGAGTTCCTTCTTCAGAGTTACAGACATGGCAGGATTGAGGAAGAGGCCTATGAAGATTGAGAGAGAGGGGGTTCTTTCTGGGTCTCCAGTAACTGCTGATATTAAACAGGAAATCGTATTACCTTAGCCAGTCCCCATGACTATTAATCTTCACTGTAATTGAATCCACCTAGCATTCACCTCTGGGCCTGCTGGTTACTCTCTGCTGAAGGAAGTGGTTTGTTTGTCCCTGGACAATAAGTTCCTTGTGCCTGTCTTTCCAGTTACCATCCAGGTCATCTAAGTTGGTTATAGAGTGGTTCTCTTGCCAAACCAACCCCACCCCCCATGCCACACACTCACACACAAATTTTTTTTTTTCAGCATATTATGCTTTATTATTTCAAGAAAAGTATGAATGTATCTGAAACCTACAAAAAGCTTTGTACAACATATCGAAATGGTGCTGTGATTGATTGAACATGTCAAAAGTAGTTTGTGAAGTTTTGTGCTGCAGATTTCTCACTGGATGGTGCTCCATGGTCCAGTAGACCAGTTGAAGTTGATGGCGATCAAATCAAGACATTCACTGAGAGTAATCAATGTTATACCACGAGGGAGATAGCCAACATATTCAAAATCCAAATCAAGCATTGAAAATCATTCGCATCAGCTTGGTTATGTTTTGTTTTGGCTTCATTGGGTCTTAGTTGTGCTTCATTGCATCATATGGGATCTTCTGTTGTGATGCATGGACTCTCTCATTGTGGTTCTCGGGCTCAGTTGCTCTGTGGCATGTGGGGTCTTAGTTCCCTGACCAGGGATCAAACCTGTGTCCCCTGCATTGCAAGGCAGATTCTTAACCACTGGACCACCAGGGAATTCCCCAGCTTGGTTATGTTAATTGCTTTAATGTTTCGGTTCCCATAAGTTAAGTGAAGGAAAACCTTCTTGACTGAAGAAAAACCTTCTTGACCATATTTCCACCTGTGTTTCTCTACTGAAATTTAATGAAAATGTTCCATTTTTATTTATTTGTTTACTTATTTATTTTTTATTAGTTGGAGGCTAATTACTTTACAATATTGTAGTGGTTTTTGTCATATATTGACATGAATCAGCCATGGATATACATGTATTCCCCATCCCGGTCCCCCCTCCCACCTCCCTCTCCACCCGATCCCTCTGGGTCTTCCCAGTGCACCAGGCCCGAGCACTTGTCTCATGCACCCAACCTGGGCTGGTGATCTGTTTCACCCTAGATAATATA